TCTCTTCTTCAGATAACTTCGTTGAAAAGTCCAATAAAACTTACTGAACTTACAATAAATTACATAAAACAGTACATAAAATAATTAAATCCGCACTTGTCAAACGAATTAGCTGGGACTGTATCGCTAGTGATAAATCATGAAATGAACGATCAAAGAAGTTTTACTATGGCGGCAACAAATCACTTCGACATACTTGAGAGTACCGTCCGGCAGTGAAAAGATTTAACGGAGAAAGATAATTTATACAACTGAAAATAAATCCGGTACTTCAGAGTACCCTCTGTCAATAAAGGGTTAAAAAGCCTGTCTTCGACTTGTAACAGTTTCATCTTGCCAAAATTTATTTGGTTTATGTTCCTCGTTGATCCATGTTTAATCTAAATAAAATATATTTCTTCTTTGGTTTCTCATTTCTTTTATAATCCTTAGGTAATTTCTTCTACATACTACAATATCGCTTCTTTCTATTAAAATAGACTATATGGAATGCTTTTTCCATAGGAAACCTATTTCTTTTAAAAGTTTCCATAGTGTGCTTCGACTCATTTCAAGGTAATCCTTATCATCTCGAACCGTGGCAAGAACTTTGTCTACTGTCGGAAATTCTTTTCTAAAGAAGAACGCATGCACTTTTCTTCGAAGTCTTTCTTTCAAAAGATTTTCTAATTGAAATTTTGGTTTTCCTGGAGCTTTACGTGCTGTTTGAAACTCGCCACATTTCTCTTCTTTAACAACTCTGTAAATCGTAAATTTCCCAACACCAAGCGTACTACCCGAGAATAACAAAACGCCGAGAAGCAACAGCTTTGTCGGAACGTTTGATGTTTGTGGGATCGATTTGCGGTGACCTTGAAGACACCATAATTACACTGCACGCAAGCTGAATTGGCTCGCAGTCACACGATCGGACGGAAATTTGTAATTTACACTAAATATGTTTTTAGTAAGGGAGTACATTTTTTATTTTGCATTTAAAATTATATACCTTTGACTGCAAAAAGACTCATTCCGCTGCCATTTTTGGAATCACATTCATGAACTACATAATAAGATTCAACCATTTTGTTACGAAATTATCTAGAAAACACAATAAAAATCGCACAGTAATAACTGAAAGAAATAATTCAAAATAGTCGAAACTACAGTTGTTGCGCTCGGATTAAAATCACAGGACACCTTCGTATACGGTGTCGCGCTGATCTAGTTGGCCACATGCTAATAGACACCATATTTTCGACCATGCGCCTTCGAAAACCGACCCGGCGGGAAAGGGTCTTTGTCGCTGCTCGGCGTTTGGTTATTCTCGGGTACTACCACAGCTTAAAAATACAGCTAAAACACTCTCTTGGCGGCAACGGTTTGCGTCGATTTCGTCGCGCATCGCTTAAGCTCCGCCTTCGAAGGGAAAAGACGGTTTTGGTGTTCAGAAGCGTACTTAGGTAAGGTGTTGAGTCGTGCGTATAATTTCGTTGATTGTATAATTTCGTGGAGCCTATAATTTCGTTGATTGTATAATTTCGTGGAGCCTATAATTTCGTTGATTTTGTTTGAGTTAAAGGTACTGTTATTATTTTGGTGACTCTTTAGCTGTGAGTAGAATGAGTGAAAAAAAAAGACGTCATTCTGTTTGTGCAGTCAAAAGCTGTTTTAATAAGGGTTATACCTGCAAGAAAACATTCTTTAGTTTTCCCAAGGACCCAAACCGATAAGTACCACATTATAAGAAATTTTCATTGTTAAAAATATAATTTATACAGGGTATCCCATTAGTGCGTTATTGTTCATTATTTTGTTGTAGACACGCAAGAAAGTTTTAAATAAAAGTTATATGGATTTGAAAAATACCTACATATTTTAAAAATATCTTTGGATATACAGGGTGTCACGTTTTTGCCTGGCAAATTAAAATGTATGTTTTTTAAATGGAACACCTTGTATTTTATTTTATGATAAAATTATTAACACCCTAAATTATTGTAAAGACGAATTGATACAGAAAAATTTTATCAGGTATGTGTGTGGTTACCTTTTAATAAAAGCCTTGCGGATCCACTCCTCTGCGATACCTGTCTTAAATATAACAAAGATCACGTTGAATTAGATGATTTTTCTTTTTATTGCTTTTTAAAGGCATATGATAACGCCAATCCAGATACATTTGGAAATCTGCAACTGTCACATGATGAATTTGTAGAACTAATATTCAATATTGAAAAGATATTTCAAAATAATTTTGAAGAATTGGCTACAAAAAATAACATTTGTACCACACTTTTAGAATTAATTAACCCAATACCCTTTAGTCATCCATGCTAACGTTTTCCAAAAGAATAACTTATTTTATTGTATGTTTAATCTCAATAACTAAAAAATATACTGACAATTAGTTTGACAGAATTGTCATTTATTTAAAATTTTAAAAATAATAGCAGTCGGTTGATCAAAATATGAACGGTGATTGGCGAATTTATTTTTTTTGCAGTGTTCTCACTACCTAGAATGGATATGAAATATATTCGTTCAATTGAAGGCAATAGCATACTTTTTCGTTTTGTAATCTGTGCATGGATATTAGCCAATCTATGCACATACTACAAAACGAAAAAGTATGTTATTGCGTTCAACTACGAATATATTTCATATCCATTTTAGGTAGTGAGAACACTTTAACAAAATTAAATCTACAAATCACAGTTCATATTTTGGTCACCCAACTCCTATTATTTAAATTTTTTTAAATAAGTGACAATTCTGTTAAACTAATTGTCAATATATATTTTAGTTATTGATATTAAATATACATTAAAATTTTTGTGTAGACTCGATAAATAATAGCATTTTTGTTTTTATTGTGTCCACATTTAAAAAAAAATAAATTTTAATCAAACTACATGATACTAATTTAATTACGAGTATTAAAACTAAAGTCCTGAAAGTTTCGGTGAAGATGAGGACAGAGCATCTGCCTTCCACGCGAAAAGCCCGGGATCGAATCTAGGCCGAGGACTAATTAATTTTTCATGTTAATTTTATTTTATAAATTAGTCAACTTCGTAAATTATTTTAAAATTAGTTATTTTGTCTAAATAACCTAAAATAATTTTTTAAATTTGTAGATTTTCGTTAGTGGGTCGTAGAAAAAATATACTGACCATATCGAGTGGATTGTTCATATCACAATCAGACGATTGAGTACTCCGCATACGACGTCGTGCTCAAACTTCGTCTTTGTGTGATATTGCTATCATATCCACCCTTGTTGAACAAACTATAATTTATTTGTTTTCTTGGTTTAAACCAAAACTTAAGTTTTACATCAGAAATAGGAACTAAATTAATTTACTTTTCAAGTTTTCTTATAAAAATCGATATTACTTTCTCCAAGTACAAATTTAGTACCTACCTAAAATAAGTACTAATTATGTAATATCGTGTAATATTGTAATTCAAATTTCACATTACTATAAAGTTTCAAAATTCCCTACTTCGGTATGGTCAGATAAAAATTGAATATATTATATTAATAAAAACTGTCAAAGTATTACTTCTACAAATCTGTATTTCAATTAATAAGAATACATCTAAATATAACCAATATTGTTAAAATAAAAGCACAAATTCTTTATAATTCCAAAATACCATAGAGTTCCCAGACCTCAGTCGAAGCATTCGTTTATCTAGGTATAAACCCTTTGCGCGAAGAGTAACACTTGCCAGAGACACGGGGTACCACTTGATTTGCATCCACGAGCGTGACACAATTCTTTAACAATTGAAGCCCTTGGTGTAAAAAGGATCCAAGCCACAATTTGTCGTGAAGTGACTGTTTTAGCTCAAAACATTTGTTAACGACGATTTTACTAGCCACATACAAATTATTTTACCTCTAATCCGAAAGATGTGCTATTTTTCGTAATATTTATATTTAAATAATGTTTCTAATTATATTTGACAGATTTAAAACAAATTAAAAATTTAATTTCCCAAAACTTACTTAATATGGCATGTAACCAACCTTATTACGCCAAGGTTTTCAATTTTTTCAATAATAAAAAAATTGTTTAATCCGGGCCCGACTTTTCCCTCGAATCTAACAGAGATAGCACCATTCCGTCTTGCTTGGTTCTCGACCGCCAGATCAAAGACGCCGACACGGAGTTGTGGAGCTGTATATTGTATAAGCTGTGGTACTACTAACTAATGCCACTCTGTCATCAACACTTGTACATAAATGTTTGTCTGTAAATGATTTAAAACAATTAAATATTAATGTTTTTTCATATAAAGGACCCATTTTTTGTCGTTTACGCGGCCCTTCCAAATTTTCCATGATCACACTAGAATTCACACTACACCTTGCAAGTTGCAACTAAATGACATTTAGTAAACTGTCAAGAATACACAACTTGGACCTCCTTACTAAATGGAAAACCTGTAATCGCATTTTCGGTGAAATTTGTTGGGAAGGTATTTATCTACTTATAATTCGATTACTGTAAGAAATTCTTGGAATTAAAATAAAACAAAATTGACAAATAGGTACTTATTGATAATAATCTTAAGATACGGCTATGTAATCTTTAATACATAGGGCTTTTGGCTTGTCCAAACCTTTTTCTATTGTTCTGTACAGCTTACGTTTATAAAGGACCAATAAAAGACCCAAAACTTGTAATAGCTCAGGTACATTTATTACAATTTTAGGAAATATTTAGATTATTCTGTAAAAATATTTAAAATGACCGTACTAAGTTTTGCATTAGAAATGCTGTTTTATTACTCTCTCATACATAAACATAGACTATTAATATGTATATGGAGGTACGATCTCTAAAATTTTATTAACTACATTTGGTTGATTTCCCCTCTTAATTTCAGGTGTAAAATTCTTGTTGTATTGTTTGTTTTACAAGCAATGTTTTTGTAACATAAACTTTAAGTTATTCTCTTTTTCTTTTGTTCATATTTTTAATATTCATACCCAGTTTATTTTTTAGGGAAATTCCATACTTATGGGTTCAATTTTTGTTGCTACGGTTGGATTTTGTGTAACAACTAGGCTTTTTATATTTTACTTTTACGGAGATCAACTTACCTGCGAGGTAAGAACTTATGAATAGCTTTTTTACTAAGAAATTACTATTTATATCTATCTAACTATATTTATTTTGTCTTTATCTGATGTTAAAAATTTCCAATTTATTTCCCACGAAAATGAGAAATATAAAAATAAACATTTTTCGAGAGAATGCTTCCAAAGTATTCTGAAATATTGTTGTGGGCAATTTGTCGTTTAATTTTAAGACGAAATGCTCCTGTAAACATGTGTTGGGAGACAATTCGACCCATAAAAAAACTACCTGCCCAAGACGGGTAACAACTCGACTTTGCCGGGGAATATAGTTCCTAAGGGTTAAATAGACTAAATATTTGATATAAATATCCTATAATCAAATTCCTTTTATTTCTAAATCGTTTTTTACCTAATAAATATCTGACACTATTTAATCAGTACTAATGATAATTCGGTAATATTCGAAATTTTGTAACACAGATTTTTGTCGTAGTCATCCGATATTGCACAAGCTGTGTTTGAAAGTAATTGGTATGACCAAACGAAAGAAGTAAAACAAATGATTTGCATCGTTTTAGTGAGATGTCACAAAGAAGTCGCATTATTCGTTGGACCGTTCGATAAAATGTCTTTGAGAGTGTTCTTATCGGTAAGTGTGTGTATCAAGAGCTAGCAGACAATGTACATTTGTTTGTAAAAAGCGGCAATGGAAGTTTCTACTCAAAATACATACAATATTTTGTTCTACAATTACATCGTTTAACCTTTTTAAAATATAGTTTCAATTAAACTAATATAGTTTGTATAGGACCCCTCAATTTCCTTATGATAAATGGCTCTAGGTATTTTTAAAATTACCTAATGGGTAATAATTCAACAACAACTACATATTTAAATGTTTATTAAAACTTTAAAATATAAATTTACTTATTTTTTGTTGATTTAAATCACTCGGCAAGTCTTCGAGAATTCTTCTTCTCCTTAAACTTCGAGTGTCAAGTTTTTTGCATGGGGATTAGAACACTTTTAATTTTTATATATGTGTCAATTTGAAATTAAGTTATGACATTTATAAAAATATTCACATTGGAGTCAGCGGTGTAAAATGAAGCATTATAATATTTCGAATGAAAAGACTCACAACAATTGGTGGTTCTCTGCAAAGAAGAAGAATGCTCTGCCCATATAAATGGTGGAAGAGATGAATCTTCTGCAATATAATTGTCAACGAGATAATCACAAAACTGCGTAACTTTTTCATTGACAGGCTTAATGTGTGTTAAATCAATCCAAAAACAAAGATTAAGAACTTTGATATATCTGTTTCACGCTCCCCACTTTTTTTGGTACGTTGCTGCTAAGCCTAATTCCTAAATTTTTTGGTACTATGACTGCTCTAAGTGAAAGCGACAACCTCGTAGACTTGCTTCTGGGAACGCCTTGCAGATTTTTGGCGACACACTCCTTTTAGCAATTTCTAACTATTACCTATAGTTAGGAATTGATCAAATGAAGACTGATGTTAAATAGTATAAAAGTATTAAAAAATTAGACTAACAAAAACGTCTGACAAAACTGTCTCATTTATTTTCACATGAAAAGAAAAAAATTACAATTTTCATGGAAACAACAATACAAAATACAACAATATTTTACATTCTCCCACTAACAAATATTAAAACCTGGTAGATTTCTTAATCTTCCTCCCATATCTTGTGACATCTTTGTAGTTTCTGATGACTTTCCTTCTATCTTTCTTTTCCTTACGATTTCATGTATTTGCTTTTGATCATCATTTTCATCCATCTCTAACATATATATTTTCTGTATGGGCCTGACTACGTCTTTCGTTTTTAATCCAACTAATATTTTTATCCTTTCCAAGAAAAATCTTTTCTATCAAGGTTAGTGGCCAGTCTAATCTCTTAGAACCTCCAATTTCTAAAAAAACTACCTACTTTTACGTTATTGCAATGTTGTTTTCGCTTTCGTAGAATCAATTGACTGAAATATTTCTACCTAAATCGTTTTTTAAATCATTTCTCAATTTCAATCTATATCTATATCTTATTCTAAGACGTCTTATTTATGGCTTATTTTAAGCTCTACAGACCAATAGAAGCCATTAATAAGACGTCTTAAAAACGACCCTTTTGTAACATCAGACGTCTTCTAAGACGTCTTAAAGACGTCTTTCAGGAAATACCAGACGTCTTAAAGACGTCTCTAATGTCTTATGCTAATAATAATAATAATAATAATAATAATAATAATAATAATAATAAAGATTATTATTATTATTATTATTATTATTATTATTATTATTATTATTATTATTATTATTATTATTATTATTATTATTATTATTATTATTATTATTATTATTATTATTATTATTATTATTATTATTATTATTATTATTATTATTATTATTATTATTATTATTATTATTATTATTATGACGACTTTGTGCTATCTGGGAATACTATAAAAATATTAACAAAAATATTATTTACACAAATAATTCAAGTCCTTGCCTCAATTCGTGAACCTTAACGCATTTTATTTTATCTATATAGCATAAATTCACATCAACAGTTTTGTGTGCTCTATTGGTTTTCATATATATTTAAGGACGAAGAAAATCACTTTATTTTTCTAAATTCAGCAAAATTAGTATTTAAATAGTTTTTACTGTTTTACAAAAATATTTTTATTTGTTACGAAACCGACAGAACCTTTGATAAATATTACAATCCGGCAATGCTGTTTCCCATTGGACTGGCGAGACGCGGGTAGCGCCGAGATCGTTGAGCTGGGGCGAAGGCAGTTTTGTTGCCAAATCGTGTAATGCAAGTATTACTGAAAGTAAGAAATAAATCAATATATTCTGCAAATATATGCAATACATAAACCAATTGGGCCATCCCACGCCTCACCTGTAGTTGAATCAATGAACTGGAGTGGGGTAGAAAGCCAATGTGAATATTGTATCAATATAACAAGATGGGACTCTATGGGCGCTGCCATTTTTATTGCTCATCTCACTCGGGACCATTTATAATAACCATTTTCTGTTTCACATTGTTATTGTTCAATCCACAAGCTGGTGGATCAGACAATAACAAAGTGAAATAGAAAATGGTTGTTATAAATACTCCCGAGTGAGAAGAAAAATAACCTGTCTTCACCCATAGAGTCGCATCTCAAGCCTATTGACAAGTATTCTACTCCACTCCAGTTCATTGAGTTGAATATCTGTTGAATACCCAGAAAGAGAGGAGTCCCATTACACTGCGCGGAGAAATAAGATAGAATTATTACACGTACAATTGTTTTTACACAAACAAAGAGATAGTTGCGTACAGAAATATTCTATGAAATAGATGAGGTACCTCTCAACTTCGACCGAATGGAAAGCGGTAGAACAGCCTTAACTGTATTACTCACGAGATGTCTGTTAAAAACTGTTCATGATTCTGATCCAAAACTGATTGCACTATTGTATCGTCAGATCCTTGGGTTTTTCATGTTCGCTTACTTCATTGCCATCGTTATACTGTTTTATTGGCCAACATTTTTTGAACACTGAATGTATAGCCATGAATTACCAATAATGACACGCCTCTCTCACTTAAACAAAATGTTGCATCCATTATTAAAAATTTTTGAGAATTTATAAGTTTAACATCATGTATCTCAAAAACTAGCCAAAAGAAAAGTTTGTGCCCACAGACATTTTTAAATAGGAGATCAAAACCTACAACATATTTAAATTCAACAGGTTCGACCGAAAGCCTTTTGTCATGAGGAAAACCTATGGGTCCTTTATTTAAAAAAAAATGGATACCATTTTAAGCACGTTTCCTTATTAACTCGTCCATCAGGATATTATATGTTCTGAGTTTAAATTGTTAATTTGAATAGTTGTCGTAAAAAATATTTACAAATAAGTACTTATATAAATAATTATTTTTTAGGTAATTAAAGCAACTTATTCATTTGTGGCTACGATGCATACCCTACCCTTCTAATCATGAAAGCCATATCTTCATTTTTGGCTATATTGGAAGTAATATCTTCTTTGTTAACGATATATTCTAGCACGTCATATTTTTATTGCATAAAGTTGCAAGTGAACCATCATTCATCAATACCCGGACCTTCATTCTCCTTCACAAGCGTAATAGAAGAACATAATGAAGATACCACAATACTGAAAAATTGAAACCTTTGAAATACAACCAATCAACTGAAACAGAAAACTTCTAAGAATACCAGAGCACAAAAAATTCATCAACCTTAAAAAAGATAAAGAATATTGGTTCATTTGCTTTGGTCAATAGAAATATTATAGTTTAGACAGGCTTTTAGATTTATTTATTTACCACTAATTCACAAAACAATATGCATCCTAATATTAGAGAATTTAAAAACGATACTATAATGGCAATTTTCATTGGTCATAATAAGGAAAAAAAAATTGTGAAAATTTTGAAAATAATATTTCTAATGATTCATTTAGAATTATTTATTTTAATATAACAACAAATAATCAACATTTATAGCGTTACCAATATCGTTGATAAAAATATTAAATAACAGCGGACCCAAATTTGAACCTTGCGGTATACTATTTGCTAGACTTGTATAGATTTAATTGAACATATTGTGTTCTTTGAGAGAGATGCGATTGAAAAAGTGTGATCAATCTATTAGAAAGGCCAAAAACGGTTTTTTGTATAATAATATTATTATCAAGTTATCAAATGCTTTTGTCATATTCGTGATGTTAAAATAAAAGTTAGCTTAAAAATTATCACTATGTTCAATAAATTTACGATGTAAACAACGCCATATTTTTAAATTACATGTTAAATTCTATAAGTTTGTCATTTTTTGGACATTAATTAGACTTCTGAATGGGTATATCCATTGTAGTCCAAGGTAGTTAGGAAAAATAGCGGAAATTTTTAGGGACAGTAGATATCGAGATGCGGTTTTCTGCATTTTGTTCAGGAAGGTCCCAGGAAAAAAGTCTATATCGTCTGGTTTAGCCATTTTTTGAAAAATGCCTTCTGGGCCGGAAAATGCATTTTCCAATTGCATCATTACTTGCACCATTATAGGAACGACTGGAAACTCGGAAAAATCGCTAGGAAATCGTTACTCAAAGGTTTTTGGGGCTGGCGAACTCGATTCTGGTATTAGAATTACCCGGGGTGGCGTTTTGGAGGTGCGCGGGGGGTGAATTGGAGGAGAAATGGCAGCGTGCATGAAAATCGCTCCAAACTTGTTACTCGGGGGTTTTCGGGGATGCCGAATTCAATTCTGGCATTAGACTTCCCAGGGGGGCCTCGGGAAATGGTAAAGGAGAAAGTGAAAAATTACAAATTATGAAAATAATATTTTATTCAAATAACAAATAAGAGTTTTTATTAATGTTGAATTATTCATTATAAACTTAAATTTTTAACTTAAATACTCTTCTTCTTCTTACCCTTCTTCATCTTCTCCCTCGTCACTATTCTCGGCCCCGTTGGAAGTGCCTTTTTGGTTTGAGCAATTACCATCGCAATGCTTATATGCAAGTAAGCACTCTAACCCACTTCGCTGGCACCCATACCTTGTGTCTCAGTCGGTTTCACAAGAACAAGAAATTTTGCTTAAAATTTCCTCGGGGCCGGCTTCCTGAGTCATGGTGACAGGACTGAGCTCGCCATCCACCAATTCCCACCCCCATCCCAACGGATCTAAGGTCTCGTCTTGACCTTGTGAACCATAGCAAGCCTGTACTTGGAAATAGACACGGTTGATATGCTCGGTTAACGCATTGGCAGTCGGGATTATGCGTGCAAAATCGATTTTTTTAGAATTGTTGGCTTCAGCATACATTTTTGCTTGATAGCTTTGGACACCCCCGAGCGCCCCTTGGGAAATCTAATGCTAGAATTGAATTCGGCATTTCCGAAAACCCCAGAGTAACAAGTTTGGAGCGCTTCCCATGGACTATGCAATTTTGAGCGATTTTTAAACACGCTGCCTTTTCTTCCCAATTCACCCTCCTCGCACCCCCCACAGAGCCATTCCCGGGTAATACTAATGCCAGAATCAAGTTTGGCAGCCCCAAAAGCCCCCCGAGTAACGATTTTCGAGCGATTTTTTTAAGTTTCCAGTCGTTCCTATAATGGTCAAGTAATGATGCAATTGGAAAATGCATTTCATCCCGTTTCATCGCAGTTGTAGATCCTCTCAGGTCCTAACTTATATTTATCTAGAGTATCACCCAGCAGTTCATAAAATTTTCCAACGGAGACTTTATTAAAGCCCATAGCTCTGGCAGCTGAAGTCGCTTCGGGTTCTCGTATAGACAAGTCCTTATGGCGTTGAAGAAATCCTTGAAGCCAGTCGTTTTTACTGCTATTTGGTAGGCTAAACTTCTTAACTCCATTGTTGTCAGTCCGAATAATCTTGCCTCCATATCTTTTAAATATTTCACTAGTTCAGCTTCTTCATTTTCACTGATAACTGTTGTTATTGGTCCTAACGGTAAATCCAAACACATTTCGTCTTTAGATTTAATCGCATTTACGTGTCTTTCCAACGTTGTTTGTGGAACCGAAAATTGCATTGCAGCTTAACGGTAACCCATTTCTTTGTTTAAAACTTTTTCAACAGCTTGCTTCATATGTTCTTGCTGAAAATAAAGTCTTTATAAATTAAGATTATTAGAAAAAATCTGTTGGGGCAAAATGGGTAGTGGTCATACATAACGTTCACCATCCCCATCTTGCTCCAAATAAAAATCCTCATCTTGACCCAAATGCAAAATTTGCATACATAATTTTCTAACCTTTTCCAGGTGATAAGCTGTATTGTGACACACTGTAACAAAAATATTGAACTTTACGTCAATGTACTTTACACTATTTTATACTCGATTCTTTTACCCTCAAAAGCTAATCAAGTGACCGAATCATGCGCTTTTAACGGCTGCTCGACACATTCTGAGTGGTGGCGTGGTCTGCCGTTGCCAAGGTCATACAATAAAGCTTTCACACACATCAGGTTTTGAAGTAAATGTGGTACCCCATCTTGCTTCCTGCCCCCGTTTTACCACTATCTCTCTTAAGAAAGCTATGAAAACGCAATTTTTGACAAACAAAAATTAAAAATAATAATGTCCAAACAGAAAAGTCAAAAAAACAATTATAAAGTACTTTATTCAGGAAGTATAACACAATGTAGCTCAACTGTTTTTTAACACTTGTAATAAGAAACACTACAAGAGAGTTTAGCTCAGTGGTCGCCAACCTGTCGATCGCGAGCTACCGGTAGCTCGCGGAGACAATTCTGGTAGCTCTCACAACGATTTTAATTTAAAAAATACAAACTGTATAAATCAGAGAAGCTTCCGAAAATTCCACAAAAAAATCTAATTGTCATAATATTAAACATAAACAGCGGCAATGTTGCGGTGAGCGATCTGCCGCTGACGCCATCAAGCTAGAATCGGCTAGAACCGACCAGCCGGACCAGCGTGTTAGTGTTCGAGAACGATCAGGATTGCTTTGAACGGGATAAATACGCACGGCGCGGCGACATTGCGCTTAGTTTAAAACTGAACGCGTAACCAACGTCCAGCGGTTGGGTTAGTAGAGAACAACAAAAAATAATATTATGGCAAGCAGTTGTAAGAAGGTAAAGACATACCACTTTCATTCGGAATGGGAAGAACAATACATTTTTACAGAAGCTAAAGATAAAAATGTGTGTTTGTTACGTAATACTTCGATCTCCGTTGCTAAAAAAGGAAATATCATAAAACTGTACATTCTAATTTTGAAAAATCATTCCCACTTCATTCTGCCGTCAGAAAGGAGAAACTGAAACCGTTAAAAAAGCAGTTAATTGGACAACAATCAATATTTTTAAGAACAGTCGACAAAAATAAGGCTGCAACTGAAGCATCGTACCGTGTGTCCCAGATAATTGCACAAAAAAAGAAACCTTATAAAGACGGGGAAATGATAAAACAGGCGCTTTTAGAAGCTGCTGATTCGTTATTTGCCAACTTTAGAAATAAAGGCGAGATAGTTTCAGCTATAAAATATATGCAACTTTTTGCTAATACAGTGATGAGACGTGTAGAAGTAATGAGCAATAATATTTTTTTACAGTTAAGAACTGACTTAGATAACTGTGTTTATTTTTCATTTCAACTGAATGAATCAACAGATGTCGTTGACACTGCCCAGATGGCCGTGTTCGTCAGGATGGTTTTTAGTAATTTTACGATTAAAGAAGATCTTTTGAAGTTTATTCCACTGAAAGAACACACTACTGGACATGAGTTGTTTTCTAATTTAAAAAATATTATTTCTTCCGAGAAAATTCCAATATCGAAAATGGTAGGCTTGACAACCGATGGCGCTCCAGCTATGGTGGGTTGTGATAAGGGTCTGGTGGGGTTATGTGGTAAAGATGAAACTTTTCCGCAATTTCTCTGTTACCACTGCATTATCCATCAGCAAGCATTATGTGGAAATTTCTTGAAACTAAACAACGTTATGAAACTGGTGGTAAAAATTGTGAACAAGATTAGAGCTCAAGCGTTACAAAAAAGATTATTCAAAACCTTGGCTGATGAAGTTGACTGTCAATACGGGGACCTACTCCCTCACTCTGAAGTCCGATGGTTAAGTAGAGGATGGGTGCTGAAACGTTTTAATGATGTCCTATCTGGCATAGTTCAATTTTTCAAACAACGCGATGAACCGACTCCGGAACTAGAAAATCCTTTTCTCAGACAAAACTGAAGCATTGTACATGTGTTACCGTCGAAAGAGTTAATATTATCACTTAATGTAGAGGTATCGTAATTTAAAAAACTTTCTTCGTCGCCAGATTTTAAGAAATTGAACCTAATCCTCAAAGGATCTTCTTGAATATACGATTTTGGAAGAGTTATGTAAAGGTTCCATTTTAGATATTCTTGAATGGTTTTACCCGACTCTATGAAGTTGTCTAAATCTATGGAATCTACTGTTAACAATAGATTTATCAATTTCAAATATCTGTATCTTACTGCTAGGCATATTGGAGTTTCGTTCCAAAAGTTTGTTTGATTAATGTCAATACCTATAAACAAATATAAATAAATAGTAGGAAATATGGTTTAAGTTATTGTTTTTAATGCATTTCTAACTTAGTTATTCAATAAATTTGATATATCGTAAGTTATGTATATATTAAAACTTATAATGGGTTAAGTTTTAACATACGGTCGAGTGTTATAAGTAAAATAATCAATAGTCAATTTAATTAACACTAACCATTTAAACTGACGGGACAGTGGATCTGAGGTATTTTTTATTTAAAATATAGTATTAGAAATGTGCAAGTAAAAAATGGATATTCGTGAATACTTTTCTCTTTGACAAATATAATTTTTTTAATGAAAAAATTACTGACAATTCTCAAACTAAATCTAACATTAAGTATATTATGGGTAAGTATAATATATCAACTCTAACAATTCTCCCCCCTCAGCTTAAATCCAGATCTTTTTACAGGTTTGACCAGACGTCCACTTCTTGTCTCCAAACCTTCTTCTTCTTCTTCTTCTTCTTCTTCTGTTTCTTCTTCTTCTTCTTCTGTTTCTTCTAGACGTGTCTGCCCATTCACTTCGTCTTTATCATTTTTTTTTTTCAACTAGCATCTGTTTCTGCTCTGAATATTGCTTAACCGCCTTCTTTGGGAACAAAACCTAATTAACAGCGATGTCAAGCATTTTCCTATTCTTTCAGAAAAAATATCTCAAAATCCATTAGAACCCTATGACAGCAAATATCATGTAGAAATAGTTTCTACCCTGAAGAATAACTTCAAAAATCGTTTTAAGGATTTCAACGAAATGGCTTTAGTAGCGCAGTTTGTTGTTTCACCCTTTATGGAAATTGATATCCAATAGTTTGCAACTTGTGTTATGCAGAACTTTGGCGAAGACATCGCTGCAACAGAAATGGAAGTAATTGAGTTTCAAAATGATTTAGCCTTAAAATCGTTAGTCTCAAGTACCAAATGTATCTGGCCTATTGTAAGTAAAGACAAATATTCAGTTCTATGTCGTGTTGCCTTGAAAGTGAGAGCATTATTCAGTTCAACCTATTTGTGTGAATCTTCTTTTTCCAATATGAAGTTTATTAAGAATAAATATCGTAATCGACTTACAGATGAACATTTGGATAATTGTATTCGAATGGCTGTATCAAATTATACTGCAAACATTAAAAAAATTATCGATGAGTCTGAGTGTCAGCCTTCTCATTGAACGTGCTTTTTTATTTTTCAAAATTTATGTTTATGATA